GCACTAATAAAATAAAAAGCTTCTCCAATTAGTGCATACTCTCTATTATTTCTGACTTGTGTTCTGACCCGGTCCCTTCCATACTCCTAATTGCCTGTGCTGCACTAAGTGACATCGCACTTTGAGCCGTAGTCTCCTGCAAGCGAATTATCTGTCTCAGCCTCCATGATTGATCTGAAATGGCTCTTACTGCAGATGTATATTTACAACCTATGGAATATTTACAGGGATAGGCTTCAGAGGGAGGGAATGGTTACCTCTTTGGACAGAGAGCCTTATTCTCAGCTGGGTGTCCTTTGGTGTCACGCTTGCTTCACACATATATTCAAATTCACATGTATTTTTCAAAGTGATCCCAGAGCAAATAATTATACACATACCACATGTAGTTACAATGGGCAAGAGAAAGGGTTTGCTGTTGTCATTCTGTTCACTGACTGCTCTCCTGCCTTTGTGAGAGCCACACATAAATAAAGGAAGTATTGGCAGTGGCATTCTTGTGCATTCTCAAAGAAAACCTGAACCAGAAAGCTAGAAAATAGCTTTAAATGATTTCTTTTTCATGATATTGTGCTGCTTTAGACATTTTTGGTGTCTTTTGGGGACACTTCTAGCCACTAGGTATTTTGGCCTTTTCTGTAGACAAAGAGGTCTATCTACCAAATGTCTCAATTAAGGTTTCCTTCCCCACCTCATTTTAACATGCTCCTTGCTTAAGGGGCATTAAAACTTCAAGTGACCTCTTGCTTTGGATGAAGTATGGCCATGTCCCAGAGCTGTGGTTCATAGTAAGCAATGGAAACTCAAGCCTCTAGCAGTTATCAACAAGAAAGCCATCTTCACCCTGTGGGGTTTTTTTTAGGCTGGGAATTAGCCTTGGGAGAGAAAGGAGAGTTGACATCAGTCAAGTAGCTCCTGACTGCACCAAACCTTTGGAGTCTGAGAAACTGAAGCCCTTGCTGCTGTGCTGAATGAAAAAGGGGTTTGGTTGGTTTTTCTTTTTGCCTCAGTTTCAGTATCTAGTTTCAGGGTTGTTCTTTCTGTTGTTTAATTTTTCTTACTGGCTTAACCCTTCTCTGGTGCGAATAATACATTTTCAATTCAGCTTTCATTTGAAGAAAGCATGTAGGCTGGACAGGGGGGCAGTGTATCCCTCAAGGCTGACTTAAGCTAAGGCAGGGAGCCAACAGTAGCCCTAAATCTCCCTTAATGGACCAGTGGAGGCTTCACTCAGCACTTCTGAAGGATCTGCTGGCTTTCCAGCACTGTTCCCAAGAACCACAGCAGAGGAGTGATGGTGAGGAGACAGCAGGGCAAGGACACTGCTTTGCACCAGGTATTTGGCTTCCAGAACAACCCCAGGAGCCAAGATACATGGCCAGAGCCATCTGGTGTTGGACGCAAGGGAGATGGGCAGCCCAGCAGTGCAAGTACCACTCTGCTCGTTTGTTCAACTTCTTTGCTCTTCTCCTTTTCAGGCGTAGGGAAATTTCTGGAGCACCCATCACAGGTGGATCTCCAGCAGCCAAGTGAGTTTATGGTTCACATATGGTATCATCAAAATAGTTCTGGTTGTACCATATCAGCACTGCTCCTGGTATCTGATGCATGTGCTTCAGTAAAGAGTACCTTTTAACAGACCCACTTGGCAATGAATTTACAAACACTTTCCAGAAGTCCTTCCTTCCTCCCTTCCCTCTCATGAATGCTTTTAGGGCTCTTTTTGAATGTTATCTGAGCTGCATAGGAAAATGTCATAGTTCATCCCATAACTAACCACAATATTTAATTATTTAGTGATGGCCATAAAACAAGTGTAACAAAGGGAAAACTGCTCTGAACTTTCTTGACACTGTATTCAGCAAATATTGCTCTTTATCTGACATGCCATCATTTACTCGCTCAGCCCTCGGAGAACAGCGGGATGGCTGAACTATCGATAGAGCAGAAGAAAAATCATAGCAAGGAAAGTAAATTCTGACATTTTGAAACTAATGGTGTAGTTCGTCGATGCCTCATATTCAATGAGAAATCTAGAGGGAAGAGCTTAATGCACCTCTTAAAGTCTCCATTGCAGTTCTAGTTTGTATGATGTCATATTTATGCATGTATAAGGATGTCGTATGATCTGATGTGATGAGTTTATGCAGACAATACACACACATTCAGTGCTTAATAAAACTGCTTCTGTTCACTGCCTCTCAGCGGCTGGGCTTGCATGCGTCTGCATATGCATGCATACAGAAGGGTTATGAACAGATACCCTTTTTCATTAAGCGAGTGACATTTTCATGCTGTTGCAGCATCTATCTGTCTTCTTTCTGGCAAAGCTGTGTGCCTTTCAGTCAGCATCTGACTAAAGATCAATGAGAGAAAGCTTTTTGAAGGTGCTTTCAGGTCCTGCGGCAAGGGAGATGATCAGAAAGCTGCCATAAGCTTTGGACCCACTTGACAAATGAGGAACTGTTTTGGCGCTCTGTAAACTGCTGTCACATCAGTTAGAAACACTAATTAGAACTACTTTGCTGTTGAAAGTGTCCAGTGCATTAAATACCACTTCTGCTTATTGCAATTAGCTTATCCATTGACTTACACTTCATACCCACAAGACTATCAAAGATGGAAATGCATAAGGGAGGTTTTAATAATTGATGAGGGAAATTAGAACTGAATGGCAAAGAGTTTTTGCCTGCTACGCTTTGACTTTTCCTTCTTGCAGACCATGAAGCTCACATGTGAAATGAGCTCTCCTCTGTTTTGTCTGGCTGGACAAGAGTCACCAACCAATGATGCCCAGGTATGCAAGCATCGGATTGACAGCTTTGTCTCAGTGATGTGGAGATCAAGTGATGTGGGTCGCTTCAGAGAAGCAACTGGACACCCTGGTACACAGTGTGTAAAGCAAGATAATTTTATGCTCTCCCTGTATTGTTATCCAAAATGATTCTTACTATTGATAAAGCAGCAAGACTTTGTTAAATAATCTATACCATGTGGAGTTCAGAAGAGGGGGTTGTGAGTTTTAATGCGCTTTCTTTCCTTCACAGGGCTCATTAATAGGGGGCAGAATCTAGTAAAAACAAAAAGCTAAGTTGTTTGTAGAGACTGACAACTTCCTAGTTTTGTTTTAGAGTTTGTGAGTCTGTAGTGTTTTAACATGCCTTAGGAACAAGAAAAGGAAGCAAAAATGTTCTCATGCCATAAGACAGCAGTGGCCCAGCCATTAAGGATGCTCTAATTCTACATTGTACACAGATGGCTTTAGCTGAGAGGAAAGAATATAGCTCTAAATAGGTGGCTTGCAATCTAGCACACAATATAGTCATGAGGCTGCATTCCTCCCCTGCACTTGTTACCTTGGTCTAGGCACTCACTCTTTCTGCTCAGGTTCCCACTGATAATGGTAGTCTTTAGTTTAGTTGCCAGGGTGTTAAGGAAGAGCAGGGCTTGTAATTTGGCTTAAATATGAGATAGCAATCTTACCACCACTTGTATTTCTCAAGAGCTGTAATGATTCTCTCCTTAAGTGAGATTTTTTGTTCTTAAATCTTGTTTTGCTCTTTGAGACCAGCTCAAAGGCTGCCTGTGTTCTGCTCCTCAGATATCAGTAACCTAGGATTGTAATGCACATTTTAAAGAACCAGACAGGAAAGATAAAGCTTCAATGGGACAATTTCATCTGAATGCTCTTAAAAATCACCATTAATGATCCGACTGAGTACAAGAAACTTCCCGTTCTCCAATTCCTAAATAATTTTAACAAAGGCATAAACATATATACACTCACCCAAATGCAAGTATAAATTACAGTGGGAAATGGTCTGGGTCTTTGAGTATATTTGCAAGTTTGGGTTTCTTCTTTAGGAAAGAAAAGAGGAGAATTAAATGGCAAGATTTCAGGCCATACCATGAGCCTCCTCAGTCTACTCCTATCCAAAACCAGTGTCCTCATTTCAGTTTTGATGTCTGTAACTGGGATAAGGGAGAGAACTGGTTTGTTTTAATTAGATGCATTTGAAAGCCAAAGTTGGTGCAAAATCAAACCTCAGCCTGACTGAGGCTTAGAGCAGATCAGCTCTGTCCCTGGAGCAAGCTGTAAGTACTCCTTTGAGTGGCCTTGCTCTTCTCGCTTCCATAGCAGGAATGTGATTGAGACATTACTTCTTCCAGAAACCCACTGCAATATTGAGGATTTCTGGCCATTATGGATGTAAAGACCCGACCTATGGAACACTTCTGAGGTTCAGCTGTGACTTTACCACTGTAAAGATGCTGGTGGAGCCAAGGGGCACTGTCTGTGAAGGAGGAGCATTGTCCCAGCCTGCAGCTTTACTTCCCTTCCTTCCTAATTGTCTGCTGCCTTCTTTTAAGTCTGGTAACCTTAAACCAGAGGGAAAAAAAAAGAGGATTATTTTTAAGCACGATGAAATTTAACTTGTAATCGCTGTTTCCACAGCAGCCAATTGAGAGGTAAGAGCAGAGCTTTACCAAGCAGCTCCTAATCTCCAGGATTTACAGATGTTTGCAAATGAGCAGGAAATCAGGGCCACAATGACCTGGCTGTGGTGCAAGTGCAACACATGCTCACTAGCTACACTAAAGACAATGCTCCTAGTAAATTTTGCATCACCTGCACAACTTTGATGCTTGTGTCAGGTTTCACTCAATGTTAGTAGGACCATGCATTGTATTTAATGTCAGTTATGGTATCCATCTGCTTAAGACAGGGTGTCAGAATAGATTCCATTGCTGGCAAGTTTCGACACGGAAACAGTAACTTATGCACTGACTGTTTCCCTGGAGGTTTCGTGCTCGTGTAAAACCAGACATTTAAAATAAAAGCAGTATTAGTTTAACTTTCACATGGAACTGCTAAAAATCCCTGTCAGAAACCAGCACTTCTGATGTCTGGTGCTGTAGGATGGGCATCACAGCGCTGCTCTTTTCTCTGGCAATATTTTGACAGTCAGCACTGATTTTGCTTTTTCCTTTCTTTAAAGCCCCTCTGTTGTAGCTGGCCGAAATTCTTCAGTTCTAAGAAGGGTTCTGGTTTTTCTCTTCCACACAAAGTAAGTAAAAACATGCTGTCAGGTATGTGGTACCTACCAAAAGCATCCCCTGGCAAGAAATGTGCCATATGATAGAGTTCAACCCCTGCTCAGCTGTTTGCTCACAGCCCTGAGCACAGGAATGCTTGGTTTACCGTCCATTGTGTCTTGGTGATGCAGTTACAGCATGCTGGCTGCTGAAGGCCAAATCTTAACCGTGTTTGGGCTCATAAGGACTGATTCAGAGCTGCTCTGGGGTGAAAGTGGTGTTTTCTGTACTAGAACATCAGTGATGTGATTCAAATTCACACGTGTTTCTCAGAGTGATCCCAGAGCAAATCATTATACACATACCACATGTAGTTACAATGGGCAAGAGAAAGGGTTTGCTGTTGTCATTCTGTTCACTGATTGCTCTCCTGCCTTTGTGTGGGCCACACATAAATAAAGGAAGTATTGGCAGTGGCATTCTTGTGCATTCTCAAAGAAAACCTGAACAAGAAAGTTAGAAAATAGCTTTAAATGATTCCTTTTTTCACAGTACCAGAGATGTTTTTGTGCTGCTTTAGACATTTCTGGTGCCTTTTTGGGGGTAGAAGACTTCTAGCCGCTAGGTATTTTGGCCTTTTCTGTAGACAAAAAGGTCTGCCTACCAAATCTCTCAATTAAGATTTCCTTTCCCACCCCATTTTAACATGCTCCTTGCTTGAGAGGCATTGTAACTTCAAGTGACCTCTTGCTTTGGGTAAAGTATGGCCGTGTTCCGGAGCTGCTGTAGAGAAGGGGGAGCTGTGGCCATGCAGGTTTGTGCCTGATGGGGGGTGCCTGGGTGCGTCCTGTTTTAGGGGGCAGGATGTGTTTAGGGGAACCTCTCCAGTGCAGGTTCCCCTCCTGATTGTCCCCAGGACTTGCTATAGGGTGTTGCTGGGCATCCTACCCCTTCTTCTGCCCCAGCAGCCAGTGGGATCTGGCTATTTTTGGTGCTGAGGAGGAGAAGCTATGCAGGAAGGTTATTTTCACTCTGATAGAAAACAGGGCAATATATGAGCTTTGGTTCATTTAACCAATGTATGTATTAAAACTCCTGACAGAGGCATATGTGGTTAAAGCAGCCCAGTTGAATGCAGTTGGCTTGGGAGGCAAAGGCTGCTCCTAAATTAGAACTGGGCTGGAGGCAAGTTGGTTTTCGATCTGAATTATTAGGCAACCAAATTCTTTGTCTCAGCTTTCATTGCCTGAGAAATGCTCTTGTGAAGTCTGGTTGGACTTAGTCCCTTAAAACTTCTGTAGATGGCAAAACTCCAGTGAACACTTTCAAATGGTATTTGAAAATAAATACGGGGTATATAAAAATACTTGATAAGCAGCTGAGCAGGAGAAAACTCTAAGAAAAATTGCTATTGTGTAAAGATATATAGTTGCAGCAATAGACTGATATCCAGTAATTTACTACTCTGAAGTTCTAAAAAGCAGATGACTGCAAAGTGTTTGCTAAACCATTCTTTTTCATCTGACATGTGGTTGGATTATGTGAACTGACTCACCATTTAAATGGGGCTACTGAGATTGGTGTGTTATTGATTCAGACAATCCTTGACCTCAGGGATAACACTTGCTCTAACAGAGGAAACGGGCTTTTAGGCTGGAATTCTCCATCCCTCTCTGCATGTCTGTTATTTGACAATACTGAAAACAAAAAGATTAGGGAAGCAAAGCAGGAGTTAATACCAGTGGAGTCAAGCGGCTTTCCCTGGGCTGCTGCTACTCATGAAATAGTGCTGGTGTTCTCCAGAAGAGAAATCCGGAGGTGCTGAGACTTTAGTCCTATGGAGTCCATTTTTCACCCTGGCTGCTTTGCATGTGTGTATATGCACATGTGCATATGAACATATAGATGTCTCAAAGTGCTGATGACTGACACCTTGGTGTTATGCTCTGAGATAGCCCAACTATACATCATGCAAGGACTGCATTGAAGCCTAAAATAGGAGCTTAGTCTCCATAGGCTCCCTGTAGAGTCAGTGAAGAGGTACAAGCTCTTCCACAAGGCAATTTAGAGCAGGTACCTATGGAAGGAGCTGCCTCTGCTCACTGTGTGCCAGGGAGACCAGGTCTCCCCGAAATGGCACTTAGAGTGGCACCGGGGGTGTTCACAGAGCAATAAGTGCTATTGGTTCGTAATGTCACAGTGCCCTCTGCAAGAGCTGTGTTGCTGCTGGGGAGGGAAACGTGGAATGCAGAGAAGGGGCCTGTCTGTTCAGAGTGTTGGGAAAGGAGGGCAGCAGCACAGGCTGGCTCCACAGGAGCCTGTGGGGCTCAGACAAAAGCTGGTGGACATGGTCCAGGTTGGCTTTCTGGACCCTGCACACAGAGTAAGTGAAGGAGGGAGAGAGTTTTGTGTATGTGTGTGTGGTGGGAGTTCTTGTTTTATTTGTGTGCTGGGGTTTATTACTCCCATCCTTGTGCAGAACACAAACATTCTGGGTCGCTGAGGAGGGAATTATGGCTAGGATGCACAGGCGAAAGAAAAGGATGCCTGGGATATGGGATTCTTAGGAGGTTTGGATGCTTCGGGTTTTTCTGCATAGCTCAGGAGGAACTTTGTCCAGAATTTGTCAAAGACAAAGCTATCAGAGGGCACTTGTCGGGATGCCTTCAGGACCTTTTCTTTGCAGAGAAACCTCAACATAACAGATGAGTAACACAGCAGACTGATCACAGTCTTCACTTCAGACCTGCACTTTAAGTTTCTGACGATATCTTCCCTAGGCCTGTCGGTAGTCCCGGTACTGTGTGTACATTCCCAACCTGCCATTCATCACATGCCTAACAGTTGTCAATCTCCAGATATTAAGCAGATAGCCTGGCACTTGCCCAACAGGTACTGCGTGATATCGCAGCTGCTGAACAAGTGCTTCATCAAAACATTTCTGGCTTTTTATCAGCTATTTCAAATCCCAGGTTGCAAATCAGTTGCTTCCTTTTTAGTTACATGGAAGCAAAACAAGATGCACCTGAATGCTTTTAGAAACAATTACTTCTAATACTATTTACCAATGCAAACACCCCTCCATCCTCAATCCTTCCTCTGTAGACTGTAACTCACTCCTTTCTTACTCTTTCATATGCAAACACTATGTTATAATCTCTGAGCACGTCAGATAAAAGTAAAATCTGATGTATTAAGAATGAAAATATTCTTCTTAATAAAAATATGGGTTACCATGGGATTTTTCCTAGAATTATACTATACTCAATATGATTAAGAGCCTCAGAACTGGTCTCTGAAAGTCTTATTATTCTGATCAAAGTGAACATCCCATTTTTCTATGCCCGTATGCAGGTTGAAGAATGATCTTCTTGTATCTATAGTATTTCCTAGGCACAAAATTTCACTAAAACCATTTGGGGAAAGGGCAACTGGCAATGTCTCAGGGTTGATCTTCCTGTGGTCTCTCTTCCTGTACTGCTATTGAAACGACGCAGAGGGAGCTGGTCTTTGGGAGCCTGAAATTTCACCCCAGGAACAGTATTGTGAGAAGAAATCCCTTTGTAGCTGCATGGAGTGGAATGATGTGGTCTCTTCTTGCAGAGCAGCAGCTGTGTGCTCATGCTGAATGGCTGGTAATTCCATAGTGGAGTGGCTGGTAGTTCCATAGTGGGATGAAGTTGAACATGGAGCCCTGTGTGATCCGTGTATACTAGCCTTTGGAGATATTTCCTTTCCATTTTCAGACAGCTCCAAGCCATTTGCTGATTCTTGGAAGGTTTCCTAAAGCTGTGAATCAGAAAGGATTTGTGTGAGATGCTGATAGTATCGAACGGGTTACATACAGTAAGCTTCATTTGCTTTTATATGTTTAGGTGATAGTCCACTAGTGCCAACTGGTAGCAACCAAACAACATATCAGAACTGGGTATGATGTGGATGCCAGGAAATGCCAAGCATGCAAAAACCTTCCTTTTCTCTTAGGACCCAGAACTCTCACTGTACTGATATATGTCATAAAAGAGGCCTGCTCCTGCCCCAAAAATGTAATGGTCGTGTCCTACTAAGATCTGTAATTTAAATCAGGGTACAGTCAGAGAGCATGGCTTAAATGTGGGGCTTTCTTCCAGCAGCAGAAGAAATCCAGTAAAGTTTCCACAATTATTCCTAGAGGGATCGACATAGTGCAAAATAGTGCACAGGTCATGAGTCATATCGAAGCCGAGTCCATGCTGACAGAGAATTTCCTCATTTCCTATGAGCTAGATTATTTTGTCTTAAATTGTGGACACCAAATAAAATGAGTTTAGCCTTTGCCTTTGTTGCTGAACGTGGCAAACGGAGCTGTGAGTAATGGAGCAAACAGAGCAATCTGTTCCAGAGCCCCCGTGAAATCTTCCATTGTTTGGGGAACAAATCAGCCCATTCTCTGCATGAAAGGGGAAGTCACGCTTGGGAACTTGATTTGTTACAATGATCTTCTTTAATGCATTGCACTACTAGTGACATTCTTGCCGCTCTTGGGGTCCTTTGTGTGCTTTGTCTCAGGTTTGTTTTCTTGCCAGGGAATTGAAATACGTCTATGTGTAAGGAAGTCAATCTTTGATTCTTTTTAGCCCAGAAGTGTGCCTGCTACCATGCTTCAGATCACAGGCAGCGTTCTCAGTGGCACAGAACCAGGGTGTGAAAGGTCTGCTAATGACTTTACCCCATCTTCTTATTGCAGTGTGAAGTTTCACCTGAAAATTAAGAGCTTTGGGGGAGCTCGGAGCAGTGTTTGGAAGGGCACGGCTTCCTCCACACTCACATGGTTGCTAGATTGGAGCTGGTTGGATACTTCCTCTAACCTGAGACAGGACTAAGAAATATCTGACTTGTGAGTTCGTGTGATTTAATCAGTACTAACCTGAATACCCCGTCTTCCCCAAGATCTGGTTTTACAGGGATTTTCCTTCCTGGACCATGTACCCCAAAAATCCCAGGTGTCCTCTCTGGAGGCTGAAACTGGGTCCTGAGCTGGTCTTGCTGAATCTAATTCCTTTATAGCTTTAAAAAGGCTCAGAAATGCACCTGAGATGCTGCTGCTGATGGGGAAGGGGTTAATTTTGCCCTGTTTTTTCTTAGTTTACTCTTAATTTTCTCTTTGCTCCTCAGAGGAATGTGGGCTCAGTTTACAAGGAGTTAGGACCAGGCTAGGTTCTCTTTTTAGACAAAAGCCTGAAATTCCATGGAAGAATTTTACCCCTTTCGTCTGCTTTATCTGCCATTAAAAGGAGAGGCTGAGTTTCAGCAGCAGGTCTATTGCAGAAGTAGAAACAAGCTCTAAAGCTGGACTCTGGATCCTGATTTCCTCCAAAGCCTGTGCTGAAATTCAGACATAGGCTGGCATAACGAGTGCTGCTTAGAAATAATGCCATGCAGAGATTTCTGGGCTAAAGTTTGGTGTTAATCTCGTGAAGTGCTGTCTGTGGGGTGTTGTTTCAGGGGTCATTCAGCAGCGTCTCGCCACAGAGAAGAGCACTATTGAACTCCTTGGAAAAGCTATGAAATTTCATACACTGGTTGCAACCCCAGGAGACTAATCCAGCCCCAAACACTATCACTCTTAGATTTGTGTTTCACTCAAGAAGTCATGAAGCAATCTATTTTGCCAGGGGAAAAGGGAAAAAAAATAGAAAATCATTATTTTATCATCCTGAGTACTTTCCATGTATCACAAATGCCTGAGATCTTTGAGAAATCTCTCAGTTGTGCAGAAAAGCATTACACTGGCTGGGAACTCAGCCTTTCTTTGGGTATTTCTGCTTGTCATTTTTACTTACATACAAATATTAATGAAGACCTAAATGTGCCCTTTTCCTATTGCCCTTTATGTGTTTGATAAAGATGGCTCATAATCCTACAGCTGTCTTTTCCCCACTTTAAAAGGTTCTGGCTTCTTATTGCTGTCAGGATAATGCTGCATCATTCCACCTAACCACCAATAAATAGAAATGCAGAGCCATGACTTCTATTTGAAAGCATGCAGGCTCCTTTGTACTGTTTCTGTATATATAAATCTATCTTCCAACTTGTAGCAGTAGTACAACATCTGAATTAAATCATGACTTATTCTTTCTATTAAAGCTGTGTTGTCCTTGCCATTATTCCCTTTTCCAGTAAACTAATACAATGAAAAATTGATTCTAGCTGTATTGGACTGCAGCAAAATAACAAAAGATGATTGTTACATTATCAAAGCCCTCTCTGCTTCCATAGTATAGGAATCGAAACCACCTGCCTTTATCTTCTCAATCAATATTGCACCTGAGTCACATTTTCCTGGAAAACACTTTAAAGGTGTCCACTGTATGTTATTTAGATTTAACAGATGCATTATTCAGGCTGTCTTCATTTGTTTTGATTACCTGAGATTGCTCTGCCATCCCGGTGAGTTATATAAAGCCTGATATTAAATGCCACGCTAGACTAGTGTGTCAGTAACAATATCAGATGACTTCTCTTATGTGAAGCAGTGTGACAGCCGAACAAGTACACTGGGTGAAATGTATGTAGAAAACTTGTGCTCAACAGGGACAGTTCATTGCGTGCTGCTCCCTGCCTAAAAGGCAGAGCAGGGCAGAGGGCTTCAGTTAATGGTTGCTAGGACAAAATAACCTCACTGGGAACAGATTTGGGGAGAGCAAGAGCAGACATTAGTCTGCATTTCCAGAAAGGATGAGCCCGTGTTGGATGCCTAAACCTGTCAGCTGGGCTTTACAGCCTTGATTTTTAATATTGTTAACAGGCAATGCTTAAGAGCAGCTAATTTACTGCATGTCTCGGTAGCAGTCTGAAACTATCGAGCAGCTAGTAAGAACAGAGAAATAAATGTGCAGCTCTAGAGGCACGGCCATCATTTCAACGTGTGCATTTGCATATTCCAGCTAATGCCTGAAGTCAGATGCCTAAAATTAGTAGATTTATTTGGATGTGTGGAAATAATTGTAATTTGTTTCACAGCAATCAATTTGTGCTGCTTTGATTTCCCTTTCTACAGAATTAAATTATTAAGGGGCAAATATGATTTTCGAGAGACTTTTTATCATTCCCTCTGCTTGAAGTTTTGTCAAGTTTGACATTCCACAACCCAACATGCAGCCACGAGTAATAAATATTAAAAACCTGCAATCAAATAGAAAACAAATTAAGGATGAGGAATGCAAAGAAATGAGGGACAGCAGGATAGTACCTTGCCAGGAAATGTCATCTTAATAGGGGCCTCTTCGCTTTATCCACTGCTTATCGGCATCGTTTCTGGATGGCAATGCTGGTCTGAGTGAGGAGGCTGTGCCTCACAGGCTTTGTATAGGGCCATGTATGGAGGGCAGGGAGCAGGATGAAGGGTTGAGCCATAGTGTGACCCCACTTGCAGCACTGTGTACAGTGCTGGTGTCCTCAACATAAGAAGGACATGGAACTGTTGGAGCAAGTCCAGGGGAGGCCATGAGGACGACTGGGAGATGAGGCGCTAGCACAGCTGTCCTGGGCAATCATGGAGATAACACCATCTGAGGTTCACCTTGGCTTAGATGAGATCATGAGTGCCAGCAAGCCTATATCAAGTGTTTTCAACCTTCAACCAGCAATACCGTTTTGGTGCCTTGGCTTTCTCAGCTCTGCTGCCAGGGCAGCTTTGCTGGTGGCATTTTGGAGCTTCTATTTCTGATCCTAGCCAGAACTAAGGGAAGAACAAGAAATTAAGTGAGAAAAGCATGCTGGGCTTGGGTAAAGGTTATTTCCATTGGAAGTGGACCTCTGAGCATCCCTCCCTCTGCATGTCTTATCTCCTGTACACAGCTGCATGCATTTGCTGCCATGAGTGCTCAACAGGCTCTGCCTGCACCATGGGGTGGTGGGAAGGGGCTTTACACCTGGGTCTGTGAGAACCTGCAGTCCTGCTGTCTGCAGAAATGAGCTGCTAAGCTGCTGCTTAGCTCCAGGCCTTAATGCATTCATATTTCCCTGTAAATATAACTACCAGCTGAACTAAAATTTGAGCTTATGATGGGATTCTGGCTTTCATTAAGGAGTTTTGTACCTATTTAAAAAATATATGCAGGAGCATGTTCTGATTATTTTAGGAACCTATGCAAATGTATTGATTTGCAGTAGGAAAAGCTCACTGTGATGTGTAAATTAAGCCATTTAAATCATCCTGTTTGGTAACTGAAGCCCCAGCTCTGTTTGCTCCACGGGTTAATACCCTATTACCCACCAGAGTTTTATAGTTGCACTTGTGGTCATTGCTGGCCTAGCTAGCTGTGCCCTTGGTTGTCTTTACTATCAGAAAACCCTCCCACTGCTTGGGCTAGGTTTTGGTTGTTGCTGTTTTATGGTGGCCCAAGGTGTGCCAGCTGCCTCATCATCCTCAATAGGCAAGGACATGGTGGCCTTGTGTTGGTGGTAGCAGCCATGCCAAGCTCTGCTGTTGATTGCTACAGATGCCTTAACAAATATTTCTCAGCAGGCAGAGTTTTCACCTAAATACTTCTGCAAAGCACCATTAGGGATATAGTCTGTTTCACTCTCACCCTGAGTCAACAGTGGGGCAGATGTAATTGAAGATTAGACAGACCCTAAATTTTTTTCATGTCCTTGACATGAATGTTTAGAGGCTGCTTTAAGGATAGACCAAAGGATATATTAACACATAAATCCTGCAGATTGTTGTATTAGTTCTCAGGCAAGCACACACATGAAAGGGTGCTCAGGGATTGGAACAGGCAGTGCTGGAGTCACCGTCCCTGCAAGTGTTCACACACTGTGTAGACAGGGCCCTCAGTGCCATGGGTTAGTGGTGGCCTTGGCAGGGCTGGGGAACGGTTGGAATGGATGACCTTAAAGGTCTTTTTCAGCCTGGTTGGTTCTATGGACATACAACCTGTGATACTTGTTATACCAGAGCTGGGCAACTGAAGTACATAGGTGTGCTTGGAAACATTTGTAGATACATGGGGTTGAGGTCTGAGATAACATAAGAGTTCCCAGGAAACCCTAGCTTGGGGTCTACCCTGAAAAGGGATGCTGCAAAAAATAACACATTAGATAAATGATGTTCCTTTAACAGGTTCTCTTAATCAAAAAGTTGAGATGAACGTTTTCTCTGGTGCATTGTCTTTTCCCTTCACCCATGTTAGATGCTACTGTCATTTAAGCTTTCACCAGATTCTTCTCAAATCTGTTTTTTTCTTAGCAGTAGAAAAGAATCACTCAGTAACTGAGGGATTATTCAATGCAGGAATAGTGGATACAACATCCATCAAGGCAAAACCACCTTGACTTTTGAAAGTCTTGCACACAATGCATGTGGTATTTGCCCATTTAAACAACTACAGGTTTCTGGGTCAACAGCCCATTGCTTGAGCCCACTGGTACTACGTAGCTCAAACCCATAACAGTCCTGGTAGGCCATATTGCATCCTTTCAGGGCAAATACAATGTCCTAAAAATTCCAGATGAAACTGGGGAAGAAAACCTCAACAAAACATTAAATGCAAATGTGAAGATGCATGTTTTAGTTCTCACATTTTACAAATGTAAGAGCTGCTGAATTTTACTGACAGTTTTCTTGGCAGCAAGTGAATGCCAAAGATGCACATGCAAATATTTGTCAGAACTGAATTTTTGATTTTGCATGCAGAAGGATTGCTCCAGAAGTGCTGGCATAGTCACTTGCTTGCAGAAGAAAAGCAGTGTCATGGAGCACGTCTGGCCAATCCCAGGAAAACTCTGTATTTTCAATTTTAAATATTCTGATTAATCCATACAGTAAAAAAAAAAGTAAAATATAGTGAAAAGAAAGTCACTGAATATATTTGAATAACAACTAAATTCAAGATGGTGTGATTGGCTTATATATATTCCCTGAGCAAGGAGAGACAAAATTAATCAGATAAATTATTCATTTTGAATTATTTGTTCAGCTCTGTTTTTACAAGTGGAGGCCTAATACCGCTGTCTGGATTCTGCAGTTCACTACCAAAACTCTCCTCTCATGTGTCCTATTATCCTGACGGCCACTGCTTTGGGTCTGACTTCTTCACAGGTGAGCACTGCATTTGCTCAGAGGGCTATTGTCTATGAAAGAATTGCTAAAAGCAATTAGGCCTTGAGTAGCATTGAAAGTCTTAACGTGCTCGTTGACCAAAAGGCATTAGAAATGTAATGTTGCCCATTTCTACTAAATCATTGCAACACAAATAGCTGCTCTGCCTTGGCCTTTGATCAGAATTAGATTCAGGTTAGAGTGCACTAGCACACTTACCCTGAGAAGCACTCAGCCCTGCTGTCCTAATTGCACCCCAGATATCTAGACTGTATTTAGAGGATTTAATGGCTCTACTACCAAAAGTCTGTTAGCCTTTATTGCATTTATTTTCAGCAGAAAAACTAATCATTGTGTTCTCTGAGATAAATACAGTAATTAAAATATAATTCTTCTTTCTTTGATAGCAGTGTGATGTATGGTACTCGTCTGCAGTCTTGTTCCAAGCTCATACAGGAGGGGGAGGAGAAAGTTGAACTATTTAAACACACATCACTCTTCTGACATTAATAATTAGAACCATGGAATTAACTGGGTTGGAAAAGACCTTTAAGATCATCAAGTCCAGCACTGCCAAGGCCACCACTAACCCATGTCACCAGTGTCCTCATCATCGTTTGTGAACAGTTCCAGGGATGGTGATTCCACCAGTGCCCTGGGCAGTGATTCTATGGACAAATGGTGGAATGACAATCGATGCTGCAGCACAGTCTTGCTGAGGGGAATTTGAAGTAGCAAATGATATGCCCCTGCTCCAAACCTGTGTGTAAGCCTCAGGGCTTTGCTCAGCCCCTGGTACTCATGTTCCACTGCCCAGGCAGTGGCTCTGTGGGTCAGCCCCAGCCTGGGCAGAGGCCAGGGCTGGTGCAGGGGAGGGTTGTGATGGGACCTGTGAAACCTGGAGCAGTATGGTGGGCTCACTTCATAAAAGCCACCAGATGATTGCGAATTTCATTGCCAAACCTGCCTGTATTTGAAATGCGAAAATACAGGAATGTAAGTGGCACTGTCAGCTCCCGAAAAATCACATCTTCTGCAGTCTGCAATACTTGTTCTGTTCCATATGTGGGGGGATTTTTGTGCAATGTTCCAGGCAGAAAGTGAAAA